CCCCCGGATCTGGCCAAGTGAGTTTGACACCCTGATTTAAATAATTGCTAATGGCTGATCTTGAAGATGCTGGTACGCTGACCAAGAATCTATATGTAAAGATTAAAAACAAGTTGCACTTAAGGAATGCCTCCTTTTAATAAGGATAAAGGACAAGTGTGCTGTAGTTATAGAAGTATAATTGCTGTTCTGTGCCTTAAGAAATATAATTATTCCAGGACATTTTTTTCTTCCCTCTTCTACATTCTAAAGCTGCTGCAACCAGTAAAGCCTGTTTCATGTGTAGCAAGTTCAGTATTAGTATGGTATGGCCTGATTGGTACACTTAATCGGAGGTTATCATGTGCCATACTTGGCAATTCCAATGCCTTGACAACCAGGCATGTAAAGCATGTCTCTGGGATTACAAAGGAGTCTCCAAAGTATTGCATAAAGTAGTGTTGGGCTATCCAAAGTAAAGTTTAAATACGTAAATCTCTGCTGTGATTAGTAAGGGTTAGTTTTTGTTCACCATACAGATGGTACATATACTAGAAGCATCTATTCCAGCCTCTAGCAGCATGTGGACTGAAGTAGTTCAAACACAGAGGGCTGATGCTGCTGGTTGTGTCAAACTGGTTGGGCGCTCCACTGACTTGTCAGGCACTGCTGGCTGCCCACCCAACTCCAAAATGAGGCCAGGCAGTTGTTTATAGCAAGTTCTGACTCATAGCTGCTGCTGACTTAGTTGAACTGCTCAGACTGGCTTTTGAGCTAGGTGGCCCCAGCCAACTCAGCTGCCACTGGCCACCCAGTTGACCTGTGAAAGGGGGTTGGGCAGTTAGTCAATGCTGGTAACTGAGCTTGAGGGTCTGCAGGATCCTGCTGGAGCTGAATTGCTGGGCCCTGCCTCGAGCTGAGTGAATAACACATGCTGCAACTAGAGCGTTAACAGAGCAGAACAGATTATTATTATTTTATTTCCCTTCATTCTTCCATTTCCCCCTCCTTCCCCCAAAGCTTCCTTTACTCTCTCTGTAAAAATACAGATATTGTCAAGGAAATATATAAATATTTTTCCCTTTGTTCTACCTTCCAAAGACAAGGTCCACTGTGGGGGGTAGGAGCAGTGTATGTGAGAGAATACAGTAATAACTCAGTATTGGCATGGATGCATAGTGTGTGATAGAGTATCTGCAGCTGAAATGCTCTAATTGTCTGCCTTTAACATCCCAAACTATAACTGCACTGACCACTTATATACAGTGTATGCCACCTTCCTCCACCACCTGCTTCTGCTATTGTTGCCTTTCCCTCCCGCTTGGGTCATAGGGATCGCCAGGCTCCTTCTCGCTGTCTCTCCAGCTAACTATTAAAGCCAAATTGTTTCTATTTCAGGCTGGTGACTTTACAAACCACAATGGCACAGGAGGGAAATCCATCTATGGCAGTCGATTTCCAGATGAAAATTTCATACTTAAGCATGTTGGACCTGGTAAATAAACTTGTTCCTTCTCCCTTGAGAACAACTAACCTTTATTGACTCGGGTAGAAGACGGGGCATGGTAGTTCCGTAAAGACCCATGGGTGCAGAGAGGGGGCTTTCTTGGGCAGTGGCATGCTTTGTCAAGTAATTGCTGGGAATGGACTTCCAGAAACTGGGGTTCTCTAATGTCCTGCCCTGCCCTTCCTGCTGCCAAATTCAAACCAACACACCAATCTCTGTCTGTCTGTCTTTTAAAAGCCACTGCAAGAAGCAAGTATTTGAGACAGGTAGAGTACTTCATAATTGTAAAAATGCCTTTGCAGTGTTGTTGAGAAGCCCAGCCTATAACCTGTGTTACTTGAGCCTATAATAGGTAATGGTATCAGAGCCACACTTTTCCATACAATTTATTTCCAGTGACATGACGTGTAGTAATGATAAAATAGAGTAGAAATGTCCAACTAGTGGTTAACTCTTGGCTGTGACCTTGTTCTGCCTTTACCACCTCAGCTCCCTGTTGCTTTACACTCTCTTCTCCCTCGCCATCACCTGCTCCTGCTGTCTCTGCCCACCCTTTGGGTCAGGAGGATCTCCAGGCTCTTTCTCCACTTCCAACTTATACTTCCTGATGCTGCCCTGGGGATTGCATGGTCAATGGCTGCTCAGAAATTGGACCATCCTGAAAAAGAACATAATCACTGTCCATCTAAAGGCACATCTAAAAGGCTTTCCCAAATGTACAACACTCATTTTTAGCTTCTTTTTTTTTAGTATTATTATTTTGCAAGCCCCTTGAGTTAAATTTTTACTTAGTTCTGGGATTAATATATTTATTCTAAATGGAAATGAAGTGCTATGTAACTTCCACCTAACTGGGAAGGAAAGGACCATAAAAGTTCCCTTACAGGTAAAAGAATGTGAATAACATGGGGCATGTCTACACGTAGTAGTAGTATGGGGTGTAAGCAGGAGGAACTATGCCTCCTGATTGCAAGTAAGAACCCAGACGTAGTAGGGCTCACAAACCTGGTGGGACCCTACCTATGACTGGGTGGTGGGCATTCGGGGGTACACCCTATATAGAAGAGATGGGACAGACAGGAAAGGTGTGGGGGTTGCGCTCTATGTCAAAGAGCACCTCACATCATCAAGGATTAGCCTCGGGTTAGAGGAGGGTCAGGTAGAGACTGTGGGTCAAACTACAAGGGAGGCGTGGCGAAAGGGACCTTACGGTGGGTGTCTACTACAGACCGCTAGACCAGGGGGAAGAGCTAGACCAGGACTTCTCCAGCCAGCCTATGGAGGTGGTTAGGTCAAGGGATGTTATTATCATGGGTGACCTAAACTACCCAGACATTTGCTAGGAGGAGCAGACAGCCAGATCTGACCACTCGCATAGGTTCCTGACTGTATTACAGGACCTTCACCTTATCCAGGAAGTGCACAGCCCCACTAGGGGTAACGCCTTGCTGGACCTGGTTACGGGGAATGACCTGGTGAGGGGACTGCAGGTCCTTGACCACCTGGGCAATAGTGATCATCACCTGCTGGATTTCACTGTCCAACACAGGGCATCTAGGGCTCACACCAAGGCTAAAGCCCTTGACTTTAGAAGGGCCAACTTCAATGAGCTTAGGAGACTAGCGGGGGGAGGCACTAAAGGCCCAGAAGGTAGAGGAGATGGGAGCCCATGAGGGATGGCTGGGTGTAGGGGGGGCTGGGGAGCTAATAATAGCCTTTTTCCAGGGGTTTGGGAGAGGGAACCCCCCCATTCCCCTATGGACCCTGCTAGTTTCTCTAATCTGGCTAATGTGGTCCCTATTTTTAAGAAGGGGAGGAAGGAGGACCCAAGTAATTATAAGCCTGTAAGCCTCACCTCGGTGCTCGGGAAGCTGTTGGAGAGGATCATCAAGGAGCATATCTGTGGGGGGGCCTGCAGGGGAGATCATGCTCGGGGGCAATCAGCATGGCTTCACCAAAGGCAGGTCCTGCCTGACCAACCTGATTGCCTTTTACGACCAAGTAACTAAATTCTTGGATGATGGTGTCCCTGTGGACGTATTCTTTCTAGCCTTTAAGAAGACCTTTGACACTGTCTTTCACCCCATCCTCATCAATAAATTAAGTGACTGCGGCATTGATGCCTGCACAGTTGGACGGGTAAAAAATTGGCTGATGGGGCGCACCCAGAGAGTAGTGGTGGACGGGTTGTACTCAACCTGGCGAGATGTGAGCAGTGGGGTACCCCAGGGCTCAGTCCTTGGGCCCGCACTGTTTAACATCTTCATCAGCGACTTGGACGAGGGGGTGGAAAGCGCGCTGTCCAAGTTTGCTGATGACACTAAGATGTGGGGCGAGGTGGACACACTTGAAGGGAGAGAGGCTGCAACTAGATTTAGACAGACTACAAAAGTGGGCAGACGAGAATAGGATGGGGTTCAAAATACACAAATTATTGACTCCAAGACGAACATGAGCTGCCAATGCCAGACCTGAGCCAGCAAGGCCAACCATACCTTGTCATGCATAAAAAGAGGTGATACTCCCCCTCTATGTGACTTTGGTCAGGCCGCAGTTGGAGTA